GGTCTTGGTGGGAGTTGGACGGGACTCTGACGGGGGTTTTGGCGCAAGGCTCTGAGTTTTAGCGGGGGTGTTGACGGGGGTTGTGACGGAGGTTTCGACGGGGGTTTGGACGGGGCTCATTGTCAGTGAGGCCAAGATTCCGCCACCAGGGCTTGAGCCCGAGCCCCTCGGGTGAGAGCCAAGCATCCTAACCAGCTAGACTATATCGGATACTGCCAACTCGCTTTCACACCACAACTAGTGCCCCCTGAGGAGAAAGGTAAAGTTTGGACGGGGGTTTGACGGGGGTTTTGACGGGGGTTTGACGGAGGCTTTGACGGGGGTTTTGACGGGGGTTTTGACGGAGGTTTTGACGGGGGTTTTGACGGAGGTTTGGCCGGAGGGTGTTGACGGGTGCTGTGGCGGAGGCTCTGACGGGTGTTTTGACGGGATTTTTGACGGAGGTTTTGACAGCGGAAGTTTTTTTAACCCAGTGGGCGCAACCTTGCCAAAACGGGTCTTTTTGGCAGGTTCCGCCCATGGGGCACAACCTTGCGAAAACGGCTCTTTGGGGCAGGTTCCGCCCGGGCCGCACAGCTGCAAAACCCTCCGTCAAAACCCTCAAAACGCCGTCCGGGTTGAAACTGATCGTTCCCTGCCAGTAGATGACCAACCAGCCATTGTCAGTGAGGCCAAGATTCCGCCACCGGGGCTTGAGCCCGAGCCCCTCGGGTGAGAGCCAAGCATCCTAACCAGCTAGACTATAGCGGATACTGCCAACTGGCTTTCACACCACAACTAGAGTTGCCCCCTGGGGACAAAGGTAAAGTTTGGCCGGGGGTTTGACGGGGGTTTTGACGGAGGTTTTGGCGGGAGTTTTGACGGAGGTTTTGACGGGGGTTTTGATGGGGGATTTGACGGGGGTTTTGACGGGGGTTTTGATTGACGGAGGTTTTGACGGAGGTTTTGACGGAGGCTTTGACGGGGGTTTTGACGGGGGTTTTGACGGAGGTTTTGACGGGGGTTTGACGGAGGTTTTGACGGAGGTTTTGACGGGGGTTTTGACGGAGGTTTTGACGGAGGTTTTGACGGAGGCTTTGACGGGGGTTTTGACGGGGGTTTTGACGCAGGTTTTGACGGGGCTTTGACGGAGGCTTTGACGGGGGTTTGACGGGGGTTTTGACGGACCCCAAACCAAGCCTAAACCGACCCTAAACCAACCCTAGACCGACCCTAAACCCACCCTAAACTGACCCTAAACCAAGCTAAACCAACCCTAGACCGACCCTAAACCAACCCTAAACCTACTCCAAACCAACCCTAAACCAAGCCTAAACCAACCGTAAACCAACCCTAAACCGACCCTAAACCAACCCTACCCGACCCTAAACCAACCCTAAACCAACCCTAAACCAACCCTAAACCAACCCTAGACCGACCCTAAACCCACCCTAAACTGACCCTAAACCAAGCCTAAACCAAGCCTAAACCGACCCTAAACCGACCCTAACCCTAAACCAACCCTAAACCAACCCTAAACCGACCCGAAAACAACCCTAAACCGAGCCTAAACCCACCCAAACCAACCCCAAACCAACCCTAAACCAACCCTAAACCGACCCAAAACCAAGCCTAATCCCACCCTAAACCGACCCTAAACCGACCCTAAACCAACCCTAAACCAACCCTAACCAACCCTAAACCGACCCTAAACCAAGCCTAAACCAAGCCTAAACCGACCCTAAACCGACCCTAAACCGACCCTAAACCAACCCTAAACCAACCCTAAAGCAACCCTGAACCAACCCTAAACCAACCCTAGCCCGACCCTAAACCCACCCTAAACCGACCCTAAACCAAGCCGAAACCAAGCCTAAACCGACCCTAAACCGACCCTAAAGGAACCCTAAACCAACCCTAAACCAACCCTAAACCGACCCGAAACCAACCCTAAACCGACCCTGAACCGACCCTAAACCAACCCTAAACCAACCCTAAACCAACCCTAAACCAACCCTAGACCGACCCCAAACCCACCCTAAACTGACCCTAAACCAAGCCTAAACCAAGCCTAAACCGACCCTAAACCGACCCTAAAGTAACCCTACACCAACCCTAAACCGACCCGAAACCAACCCCAAACCGAGCCTAAACCCACCCAAACCAACCCCAAACCAACCCTAAACCAACCCTAAACCGACCCTAAACCAAGCCTAAACCCACCCTAAACCGACCCTAAACCGACCCTAAACCAAGCCTAAACCAAGCCTAAACCAAGCCTAAACCAAGCCTAAACCCACCCTAAACCAACCCTAGCCCGACCCTAAACCGACCCTAAAAGTAACCCTAAACCAACCCTAAACCCACCCTAAACCAACCTAAACCAACCCTAAACCAACCCTAAACCAACCCTAAACCAACCCTAGACCGACCCTGAACCCACCCTAAACTGACCCTAAACCAAGCTTAAACCAAGCCTAAACCGACCCTAAACTAACCCTAAACCAACCTTGGACCGACCCTAAACCCACCCTAACCAAGCCTAAACTAAGACTAAACCGAGCCTAAGCCAAACCTAAACCAACCCTAAACCAACCCCAAACCAAACCTAAACCAACCCTAAACCAAGCCTAAACCGACCCTAAACCAACCCTAAACCAACTCCACACCAACCCTAAACCAAGCCTAAACCGACCCTAAACCAACTCCAAACCAACCCTAAACCAAGCCTAAACCAACCGTAAACCAACCGTAAACCGACCCTAAAACCCTAAACCAAACCTAACCCAAACCCAAACCAACCCTAAACCAACCCTAAACCAACCTTGGACCGACCCTAAACCCACCCTAAACCCACCCTAAACCAAGCCTAAACCAACCCCAAACCAAACCTAAACCAACCCCAAACCAAGCCTAAACCGACCCTAAACCAACCCTAAACCAACTCCAAACCAACCCTAAACACCCTAAACCGACCCTAAACCAACCCTAAACCAAGCCTAAACCAAGCCTAAACCAAGCCTAAACCGACCCTAAACCGACCCTAAACCCACCCACCCTAAACCAACCTAAACCAACCCTAAACCAACCCTAAACCAACCCTAAAACCAACCCTAGACCGACCCTAAACCCACCCTAAACTGACCCTAAACCAAGCTTAAACCAAGCCTAAACCGACCCTAAACCGACCCTAAACTAACCCTAAACCAACCCTAAACCAACCCTAAACCAACCTTGGACCGACCCTAAAATCATCGATGAGTGCGCGGGTCGCGAGTACGTGATTCACGGGTCTAAGAGTATCCGATGACAGACGGCAGAACCGTATCCGATTGGACGGGCCAGTACGCAGCTGGCAGTTTTCTCCAGGCTCTCGGCATCTTCCGGCATTGGTGTTGCTCGAGCGGGTCTCAGGCGCCGGCCCCAACCTTGAATCGCAGCTCCAAAAGAATGGGAACGGCTGAGTCCTGCTGCACTCAATGACTCGACTCCACTCCATTCTGCATACATTCTGCGTATGTTCTGCGGTTTTCTGTGCCCAGCACAGCACAGCCCTTCCCAACCGCTCCGCCAGGAACTCCGGAAGAAGCTGATTGGAGTCTTCAGCTGAGAGGACTGCGTGCATGTTCACCCGCACGACCCTCGCAGCGCCGCGCAAGTCATGCGCCGGCATTGCTGTTGCGAGACCCTCTAAGTCGATGACCCCTTCCCTCGAATTGGCAACGATGAGCCGGGAACCACCTCCAAGTGCCCGATTGCCTTCGCCACGGGCCCCATGACAATTTCGTGTCTATGAATTTCCAAGGCAGCGACAGTGTTGGTCTGAAGCTTCTCCTTAGCGACTGCGCTTTCGCTTCAGAGCCCCAGCTTTCTCAAGGCGCCAGCGCCAGCAACTGCTCCGACCAAAACCCGCCCTGGCCTGGGAGAAGCAACTTCCGTGTCACCTGCCTAAAGCTCACCATGGGCCGCCATGTCTGAGATGCAGGCGTTGAAGACAAGATGTCCACCTCGTAGGGGTTGGGATTCCAGCAGTGCCTTGGAACCACGTGCTTGCCGCGCTTCCGTCATTCAAGGCCTGGCCACTCAGCTCTGGCAGCCTGGGGCAGGGACACGGTGATCTCCAGGTTAACTTTGATCTTCGCGCCGACCCACTGGGCACCCGCAGCACTAAACATGTCTCAACATGTCTCAACATGTCTCAACTGCCTGCTGTCCGAACTGAGAACCTGGAGTCAGCTGAGATCGGCGCACCAAAGCTTTTCAGCTCAGCTTCTTGGTGTCCGCAGGAGGTGGCCCGGTAGACAGGCGTGAACCTGGGGCTGGAGCCATTGGGCCGACTGCCGCTTGTGAGCTGTTTGTGAGCTGGCGACTGGATCCAAAGGCTCAGCTGCATCACACCCCAGCCTAGCTATGAAGGTTGACTGCGAAAACGTGCCTTGAATAGAGTTGTAAGAGTTAGCTAAACATGTCGGGCCCGCATATCATGGCTATGCCCATCACCCCGAAGAGCTTCCTCTTGTTGTCACCTGCAAGCCTGAATGCATTCGCAGGTACCTCAAAGCTGAAGCCTGGTCCTTTTCGCACTTTTTGCAGGCATGGTGGACTTGGCTTCTTGGCTGCTTGGCTTTGAGGGCCGGGCAGCTCACATTCCTTGCCGCCTTCATTTGGCTGGACGCCTTCGCAGAAATGCAGAATTCGAAAACCTGTGCGGCACAAAGCCGAGCCTGTCTTCCGAGTGGCGTCCAGCAGCCCCCACTGGGCCATGGAGATACGGCTGGCTGTGCGCTGTGCTGTGCTGTGTGTGACTCCGCATGGCGCTCGCGTGACTTGTGCAAACCTGCAATCAGAAGGTATCTGGGCGGAATTGCGCGCGGAACATGGGATCAGCTGAGCCAAAGCCACAGGTTTGAATGCAACTTGCACTCCGTGATGCTGCGACACTGCAATACTGCGTGAATCAGCACTACTGGGTTCGCTGTTGCTCGGTCTGGACTCCAGCCCACGATTCGCAGCGATATTTTGATGCACGTTTGCAGGGCACTTTGGCCTCCTGATTGAATGCAAATTCATCGAGCTAAGCCGATCTCGCAGCTAGGTGGCTTTGAGCTAGCATACGCATGAGCGCATTTGAGCGCGGTGGGCATTGGCACTGAATCCATGTGACACCTGCCACATCGTCTGCCTTGTATCTTGTCAAGGATGCGAGCAAAGGCTGTCAAGTTGAGCTGACCTGAGCTTGATTGATGCCGAACCGTTTTGCTCCTCACACCCTGGAAATTATGTTGGCACATGTGAAAAATGCAACACCTACATGCTCCCGCACCGGCAACTCTCATTGAGAAAAGCGACTGGAGCAAACTGTGGTGTTGGGGTTGTGGTTGCTGGCCTGGCCATAGCACCCGATGCCATGGCATACCTCGGCCAAGTTGGGGTGGCCAAGTGGTGGCGGTTCGCACCAGGTCTCAATGCTAACCTCCAACGGTTCGTTGAAATCGCTTGAACTCCCCCGACTCTCTCCGACGCTCCCCCCGGTGCTCTCCCCCCGATCTGCGACGGGCCATGCAGCCACGCAGCCGTTCCAGCGCGCTGGCCGCCTTGGCCCTCGGCTCCCTCGGCTCCTTCGGCTCCCTCGGGTCCTTCGGCTCCCTCGGGTCCTTCGGCTCCCTCGGGTCCTTCGGCTCCGGGCGCTTGTGGCCGCAGTGGCGGCAGAAGCGGGCCGCCAGCTTGTTGGGAGTGCCGCACTTGGGGCAGAAGAAGCCCGGAGCAACCTGACCGTGCAGTCCGAGCATCCGACATCTCAAACTTGGCAACTTGAGTCATTGAGAGCGGGTGGGGCAAAGCTCCTGTGACTGAGGCGAAGAAGGCTGTGGCGGTGTCGGAGCCAAGCACGCCTGGCAACAACAGCAGCTCCCCGAAATCGGAGGGCCAGTCACGGCCTGGGGGTCCAGATCAAGTCCTCAGCCAAAACAAATCCAGCTTTGATCGACTGGGGCTACGTAGTGCAGCTTGGGCACGTTCTGATGTGCCCCCAGGCCTTGTGGGAAGCCAATCCCGCCTTTCAATTTACAATCGGATCCTCAACCAAACAGTACAAACCCAATACTACACCCATACTCGACTCTCTACAAATCAGATGAACTCAGTCAAGCTTTTCGAGATGTGCGAGTTGCCTTGCGGCAGAGGTTTTCATTCTGCCCCAACTAGCTGAAACTGTAGGGGTTCTAACTTCCTAGAAGGGGATAGTGATTTGCGAGACTGATGGCTGGCGTACAGTTTGGGGTGTTGTGTAGGTACTGTTTGGGGCGCTGTTTGAGCTGGCAGTGACGGCGCGGGCGCATCTTTGAAGAATCGACGGCAGGGTGCTCGGTGCTAGAGCATGCAGTGTGGGTGCTTGCAGGTGCTGCGCTGCTTGAGTTGGGAGAGGAAACAAGCACTCAGAATACAACGTCCGAGTAAGAACTTTTAAAGGGAAGGGAGCCTTTCGATTTGCTAAAGAAGTGTTGCGAATGCAACCTCTGAGCAGACAAGTTTGAGCCAAAGTTTTGGTGGAGTTTCTTAACTCCGGAAAAATGTGGGAAGACTACGACGCTAAACCTCGGCGGAAGACCCCTGCAACATCACCCTGTGGAGCTCTGAGCCACAGCAGCACCCTGCAACAGCACTGTTGTTGCACAGCAACGGTCTTGGAACTGGCAGGTGCGATCTCCCTGAATTCTACTGTGGTTTGACTCGGTTTGCACTGGTGCTGTCAACATCCCCAGCATCGTTTTAACTCGGCAGCATCCTTTTCATCTTCCTTAGGCTGTGGCTAGGGTTTGTTCAGGGTGGCTTCTAGGCTGGCTTAGGGCAAGTTCGGGGGGTGGTTACGCTTTAGGTACTGGGATGGTTTAGTGCTGGCTTTTGTGGGGCTGATTTAGGGTGGGTTTAAGGCTGGTTTCGGGTGGGCCCAACACTGCGGGGGTGCTACAAAGAACGCAAGATTGGGTGCCAACCCGGTTTAGGCTGTGTTCATAGGTGTCCTTTTAAGGGAAACGGATGGCCCTGGTAGATGATTAAACCACCAGGTAAACCAGGGCCATCTATTTTTCTAGCAAAACAACCAAAAAGGAGACCTGTGGCTGTGTTTAGGTGAGCTTAGGCTGGTTTAGGATCAGGGTGGCTTTGGGATGGTTTAGTGTTGGTTTGGTTTGTTTGGGGGGTTGGTGGGGTTTGCTTTGGATTTGCTACGGTCGGTGTAGGGTGGGCTTAGAGCGGGCTTAGTCTTTGTTTAGGATTAATTTTGGGGTTGCTTTGGGATGGGCTTAGTGGGGGTTAGGCTTGGGGTAGGGTTTGCTTAGGCGGGTGGTTTAAGGTGGGCTTCTTAGAGATGGTTTTGTGCTTGTTTAGTGCGGACTTAGGGTTGGTTTCGGGTGGGGTTTGGGTTGTTTCAGGATTGGCTTCGGGTGGTTGGGGGTGTAGGGTTGGTTTAGAATTGGCTTAGGGATAGTCTATTGCTGGTTTAGAGTGGGTTTGTCTATTAAGGAATTTTGCAGGCTTAAGGTTTCTTTAAGGTTTCTTTAGGGTTTGGTTTCAAGGTTGGTTCTAGTTTTAGTGGCGGTTTAGGGTGTTGTTGTTGCTAAAACGTGGGTTTAGGGTGGGCGTTGGATTCATTGCGGTTCGTTCAGGGTTTTAGGTTTGCCTCTTGAGGTCATCACAACGCCAAACAACGGCCCTATAAAGAAGCAGGGAGTTCCCAGCACGAGGTCTTTCTCAGAAGTTGTATTATCAGCTTGCCTTGCGGGAGAGGTTTTTTCCCAAATAGTTGAAAGCTATAGAGTTCTAACTTCAAGCAAAGTGGTGGTGGGTGAGACTCAGAATTTCGGTCAGGTGCTGTTGCAGGGCTGCTGCAGAGTGCTGCAGCTGCTGTAGGCTGCTGTTGCGCAGGGTGCTGCCGCTGCACGAGGCTCAGAATTATATATAGGGCTATTTGCTTGGAAAGCTTCCCGTTCTTCTCCAGGAATTCTCCTGGACTGCAATTACCTTGCTTAATACATTTGGCTTCTTAGCTTCTTGGCTTTTTGGTTTCTTGGCTTCTTTGTTGTTTGGCTTTGGCTTTTTGGCTTTGAGGGAGGCCTGAAAAATAAACCTCTCCCGCTCAGGCGGGCCCTGAAAAGCACATCTGGGGAGCTTGGCCGAGTTCATCTGGTTTCCGGAGAGCTTAGTATTGGTTTAGTGCTGAGAAACTGACAATTTGCATTGTAAATCGGAGAAAGGATTTGCTTCACAGAATCAAAGCGACAGCCATGGGACATCATGGGACATGAGCTGCGGTCAAAATTGCTTGCCTCCCGATTAGGACAGGGAACAAATCGTGAGTCCGCGAGTGTCTGACTGGAAACTTTGTCACTTGGTACTTGGCTTGGAGTGCCTGCCCTCCCCATCCGTCCAAGGCTTGAGCGCAGCCACGGGTGGAACTCAGCGACTCAAGGGAAAACGCGCCACGCCAAGCTTCGCGCTTACATCTCCGGCCTGCCCAGGATGCCAAGGATATACCCTTCGGGCGAGGGCCTCGCGGACAAAACGGAAGAATCGAACGCTAACGTGCCAGCCCGCCTCCAAGTGAAATGTGCGGCCCAGCAGCCTCTCCCACGGATACCCGTGCCGGGCCTCGCACAAGAAGCAAACAAGTCAAGCTTATGCCATTAGCTGCGCCTTGTGCTTGGGCTGCCAAGGGCGCCGGGCCTTGCACAAGAAGCGAACAGCTCAAGCTAGTCAAATCAACTGAAGCTTAGCATGCCATTAGCTGCTCCTTGTGCTTGAGCTGCCAAGGGCGCCGGGCCTTGCACAAGAAGCGAACAGCTCAAGCTAGCATGTTGTTAGCTGTGCCTTGTGTTTGGGCTGTCAAGGGCTCCGGGCCTTGCACAAGAGGCGAACAGCTCAAGCTAGCATGTTGTTAGCTGTGCCTTGTGTTTGGGCTGTCAACGGCTCTGGGCCTTGCACAAGAAGCGAAACAGCTCAAGCTAATCAAATCAACTGAAGCTTAGCATGCTATTAGCTGCTCCTTGTGCTTGAGCTGCCAAGGGCGCCGGGCCTTGCACAAGAAGCGAACAGCTCAAGCTAGCATGTTGTTAGCTGTGCCTTGTGTTTGGGCTGTCAAGGGCTCCGGGCCTTGCACAAGAGGCGAACAGCTCAAGCTAGCATGTTGTTAGCTGTGCCTTGTGTTTGGGCTGTCAACGGCTCTGGGCCTTGCACAAGAAGCGAAACAGCTCAAGCTAATCAAATCAACTGAAGCTTAGCATGCTATTAGCTGCTCCTTGTGCTTGAGCTGCCAAGGGCGCCGGGCCTTGCACAAGAAGCGAACAGCTCAAGCTAGCATGTTGTTAGCTGTGCCTTGTGTTTGGGCTGTCAAGGGCTCCGGGCCTTGCACAAGAGGCGAACAGCTCAAGCTAGCATGTTGTTAGCTGTGCCTTGTGTTTGGGCTGTCAAGGGCGCCGGGCCTTGCACAAGAAGCGAACAGCTCAAGCTTAGCATGCCGTTCGCTGCGCCTTGCGCTTGGGCGGCCTTGCGCCAGTGCAGCCTGACGCGTAGAAGCAACAAAGTGCCACCCGACCCATAGGCTTAACTCAGCAGCGGGCAAAATGCAAGACACATCGTCGCTGCATCCATCTGCTGCCTAGCGTGGGCGCAAATTTCGCAAATTTGAAGTATCTGCCGTCACCCGCGAGGCAAATCGATGCTTCGCCTGTGACCACTTGGACTGCACCTCCTCGCTAAACTGGCTTGCCGCAAGACAGGCGCCTCACTCGACATGGATTCAAACCGAAGGCCCCCAAAAACCACAGGGCTGGGTGCCCTGCCGCACTCTTGGAGGCGGCAAGGCCCCAGCAACAGTTGCAAGGCTTCAGAGCCAGGCCTCAATGACTCATGCAGATCTGTTCCATTCTGAACATTCGCTAAGTCTTCCTTCCCGTTTGGGTTTGCAGGCAGCTTTGTAGTGCCCCATCTCAACGCTGGTAGGAGCGATGGCAGTGCCGGGGACCGCACCCAGCCCGATCGTCCAAAATCTCCCACAGACCACCAGACCCCAGCATCACCAAGCCAGGAGTCCTCACAAAGGCATGTTGGGCCGTGCTGGGCTGGAGTCGCAGAATAGTCTAAGCCCACCGCCTCGCAAACGACATTTTGCAGATGTGCGGCTGCCAAGAGATGCCGAGAGCCTGCCAAAGTGAGGCCCACAAAACGAAGCCGTGCATTGCAACGCAGACATCCAACCATTGGCTCTGCATGGCCGGTGCTGGGGGATTTGCGCCCGCCTGGCCAGAGGTGTCTCCAAGCGCTCGGGTGGCAAAAAGCCCAGGGGTGCGCTCGCCCTGGCAGAGACTTTGCGCAGGGGTAGCAAGGTGGAAAGGTGGCAAGCATCGCTCCACTGCACCCCTTCCCACATTGCTGGGCAGGCTGGAGTGAAGATGCGGACCTTGGGCAGGTTAGGTCTGAATTTTCTGGACAAGGTCTGCAGAACTGCGTCCATGACATGGCCCGAGTTCGGTGGAACCTGCATCCATGGAAACAGCTGGCAAGCACGGTACTGACAGTACTGACATTGCTGCCTCACTATGCCTTACTGCGAAGGCAACGGGCAACAAAGGGCCAGAAATGGCCTGGATGAGCTTGGCCCCGGCATTCCGAACACGTTGCATTTCCTTCACGTCCTGAACGACTCGAACGACTCGAGCACAAGCAAGCACCAAGCAAGCACAAATGGACCAAGTCTCCTCGGTGTTGTGGGGCGTAGTTACCTGACGATGGAAATCTGTCCAAATCTCGCCGAGCACATAGCTGCACTGTAAGCACAAGGCCAAGTCCACCTTAGCCGTCTCGGAGACCTCATGCAAGGCGAGGGAATTGCGAATTCCAGCCTCAACCCCGAATCTCAAACCCAGCTTAGGCCCAACCCTGCTTGCCGTGGCAAAACAAAAGCAACATATTGTTTCTTGATATCTTTGCCTGCAGGTGCCATGTGCCATCCCATTCATATTCCTCCATATTCACCCCCAGGCCCGGTCAGGCTACTTGCCAAACCGCCTGAATAGCCTCTAACTCTCCTGGGCCCTTGCAGTCGCCACCATTGCACGTGAGTCGCCCAGCCACGCCTCAGACCGTGCAACTGAATGCAGCAGCCCGGGAAACCGATCGTTGCCGCCATCCGAGGTACGCACCACCTGCACCTCGGAGCCTTGGCGCAAGGCGACGCTGCAAGTGCACCCAGACCTTGGCGCGCTGGTCAGCCCATGTCAGACCTTCCCACAGGCCCAGCCTTTAGACGCAAAGTTCAGATAAAACATAAGAAACAATAAGAAACCATTGAGTCACTTAATTCGTGAATCAGAGGCTTCTTGCCGAGCCCGCACAGAGCTGGGAGCCCCTGCGAAGAGATATCGATGGCTTCGGCTTCCGCCCAGGTGACCAGGTCTGCGCTGGCGCCCCGAAAGGCCAACACCTGGAGCTTTGGGCACACGGACCATGGCGCCCGTCCGCAAGACATAAAGCATAGCAGGCTCCATTCATCTGATACGCGATTGTTATATACTGGTTATATGTGATCTTATGTTATTATATAGTATTACTTAGCCCTGGCCCGAGCACCTCCCGGCGGTCGGGCTGGTTGACAGCAGAGTCTCGGGAGATGAGTGCCATGGACCCGGCTCTGGGTGTGCTCACCCTTCCGTTGCGGGTGAGCCTGGTCGCCCAGGTGATCAAGCAGGAGCCCGACCTCGGGGGCACGCTGATGGAGGGCATCAATGCTCGGCAGCACTTCGTGGTGATCACCTCCATCAAGGAGACTGGGCTGGTCACGCTCTTCAATGCGGAGCTCACTGCTGCAGTACCCCAACCTCGGCTTCTACTCGATGGTCGATCGGGATGGGCTGGACACCTCAAGCCCACCTTCGGGGACTTCTTCCAGCTCAAAGAACTATGCGCCGGCATCGGTGGCTTCTCCCAAGGTGCCAACTTCGTCGGGATCAAGACGGTGGCCTGCCTCGACCACAGTGCCCTGGCCTGTGCTGCTCTTCGTCTTCAAGGACACTACACCATCCATTCCAACATTGAAGACCAGCAGGCACTCCTGCAGCTCCATGCGGCCGGAAACGCACGGCCATGCCCAGTCTCTGCGGGCTTCCCTTGTCAACCCTACAGTGCGCAGGGAGACCAACGAGGGCTGCAAGACTCAAGGGGAAATACCTGAAGGCCTCTTGGCTACTCCAATCGGTTGGCCTCATCCTGGAATGCATCCACAACGTCAAGGAGCACCCAGATGTCATGCTACTTCTTCAAGAATGCCCAAGGGCGCGATTGGCAGATCCACGCCACCTGGACCTTCAGGACCAATGGGCCAGTCGTCGGAAGAGATGGTGGTGCATCATGCTCCCCAACGACGACCGTATCCCCTTTCGCCTGCTCCCCTGGCCTGCCAGCAACCCATTCCCGAACGTCGGCTCCGTCATCCAGGAATGGCCATTTTTGCCAGACGAAGATGAAGACAATCTAGCCTGGACACTGGTGGAGGAGGAGGCTAAATACGGCAACCCCGACTACGGCAGAGATCTTCGGCATCTCAACCTGGCAGCTCCGGCTCCCACGGCCCTACACTCATGGGGGACAGCCCTGCAGACTTGCCCATGCGGATGTCGGACCGGACCTTGGCGGACCACCGCCTGCGACGACACGGACTCCGTGGCTTTGCCATCCTCTCCATGAGCACTTCAAGAAGCGCTTCATTCATCCCAAGGAAGCCGGATTCCTGAACAATGCCTTCGGCACCACTACCTCACCCAGCACGTCACGCACTCTGCCTGGTCGGCCAAATTGCGGCCCCTCTGCAGGCAGTTTGGGTCTTCGCACATGTGGTCAACTGGATCGTCCAGATCTACGCGAAGCGCCCAGGCCGCTCAGCACTTGGCTACGTCCATGAATACCAACACAAGCTCCTCCGGGATCGCCTGCTACACTGGATCACTCCATCCATTCCGCTCGCGCACCTTGACACTCAAGGAGGAGGGAGAGCCGGACGCCCTGGTCTCCCTCAAAAGCCCTGCTTCGCTCGCACAGATCAAACCTGCAGAAACGGCACTTCAAGGTTGGGGAGCTGCAGTACATGTTCACCCCTCGGGCCACATCCAATCCGACCAGGAGCTCATCGCCAGTGCCACAGACCGGCTGTACTGTCAAATCAACAGGCAGAGAAAAAGGCAAGCCATTGCCTTCCCAGTGACTACGGACAAGCGCCCTCTTCGAGCGGCCGGCCCTGAAACCGCAGGACTCACCTGGGATGAAACGGCAGTGCTCTACAACCTCCACGAGATCCTCAACTATGCTGCGTGTATCGACCCACGCCCTTGGGGAGTGATCACCCCAGCCGAAGCACATGAGCTTCTCCATGCAACAACGCGAACTTTGCCCAACGAGCTGCAGTTGATCGACCGGGTCGTCATCATCTTTCCGTACAACAACCACTGGACGCTCCTCACGCTCGAGCCTTTGGAAGACCACACCCAGGCCATTTGCTGGGATGCTCCTGCTACTCCCAACCAACAAGCTTCACACGACCTCGCCTTGGACATTTGCCTGTTGATTGGCTGGCCCTCCCCGCACATCCAGCACAAGCACATCTGTTGTCCACTTTGGGCGGCACGGGCGCATCAAGCAATGGCACTTGGCTTTCGCGGGCAGCAGTCCAATCCAGAGCCGACACCGCCATTGCCAAACTTGGCATTGGATCCATCCAGACTGCCCTCAAGGACAAGAACAACTGGCAGGCTCTCAAGGCTCTTGCCTCTCGGCCGGCTTCCAGGTTCAGATGGATCGACTACAACGAACTCCAAGGCCACATCGCGGAACGCGCCAACTCCAAGTTCGGCACCAACATCCCCAATGCGAAAAATAAAAAGCTCAAGGGGCAAAGCCACGCTGGCCGAGCTCTCTCTCTCCAAGTTGACCCCAACCATCTCGTCATCCTGGAGGGCATCTTTGCCGATGATGAGGACAACCCTGTTGCCCAGATCGCGTTCTCCGACATAGGCTGCAACAAAAGAGGATTCGCGCTCACCACGGTTGAGGACGCCATGCGCTTCATCAAGGACGCGCAGAGCATCTCCACGGAAGCCCTCGCGTTGATCACCACAGCCGAACTCCCACACCACCAGCAGACCGAGACCATTCGCTTCCCCGCAGTCTACACCGGTACCAATGAGCCTATTCTCCTCACAGGCAGCCTGCTCCAGATCGGGGACGTCCTAGTCAAGAGAGTCACAAAGACTGCCGAGCCCCTCGAAGACGAGATCGATACTTCCACACTGCGAGTCTCTGTCTTCGCGGATGAATATCCACAGGACTGGAGCCTCTTCATCAAGGCACCGATCAAAACCATCATTCGGAACACCCCTCTCCTCCTGAAGTGTACCGACGACTCCTGCAAAAACAAGTGCACCCGCTTTCATCCGGCCGTTGATGAAGCTGTCGACAAGGTTATATCCAGAATCGAGCACTGTGTTCTTTTCCATGCCCACATTCGCGTCCCTCTTTCCGCAGCTCCACTACTGCAGGCCACCTCCGGATCCAACGGCGTCTACTTTGACCCGCGCTCCAAAGACGGCAAGTCCATCGACCCAAACCACACAGTCATTTGGCTGCCAGGCGCCAGCTGTCAGGAAGCCAAGCACAAATCCCGAACCAGCGACCATGCCATCGCGATCACTCGCCTTGGTGGCAAGTACGGGATCCGGGTTCGCGAGCAGGACGAGAAAGCCGCATGGGCTTACCTTCGTCCCGGGCACGACTATATCCAGGTGAAGATCACGGGCGTGTTCCGGCCATTTCCTCTCCCTCACGGAGTACAACGCACGGGAGTAGCCCAACTTCTCAAGCAGTGGCAATGGCTCTCCAATCCTGCAGGGGCTCCGCTGAAGGAGCAGCCTGGGAAGTCGGCGCTTCAGCCGAACCCCCAGCGTGGGTTCATGGTCTGGAATCATGATGATCTCCGACTTTCCGGCCCAAGGCGCATTCGAAACTGGGCGTGTCGCTACAGGCCGACACATGATAGATGACCTGCCAATCACCTCCGCCGTCGTGTACGGCTTCGCACAAGGCCCGACCTACCCCAACGCCAAAACACTCACAGACCAACTTCTTTCCACCGTCACCAAGGAAGTGGTCCTCGGCATGCAGGGAGTGCGGATCATCGCCGGAAATCGCCATCTGGCGGCAACATGGCTGGCAAGAGGCCCAACAGCTGGCCCGCTCCCTCTGGCAACAGACACCAGGCAGCCCAGTTCGTCTTCCTCATGAACCACCAGCTCATCAGCAAGCTGTCCTCATCTTCCAAGACTTCAGGACAAACTACCGTAAATTCGAAGCCTGGCACGCCAACAAGCGGAAGCAGGCCATCAACCTCAAATTTGAGGAGTCCAACGGCGTCCTTTACAACTTCATCAAAGAGGACAAGGCGCCCCCCATCGACACGCTTGCCATCGCTCGGGACTATACCATTTTGGCTGTGGACCCCAGCAACAGTTTTGTACACTTAGACAAGGCTATCTACGCCAAAGGCAGCTCCACCTGGTCTCTTCATGCAGAACCAGCTCATGCACAGTTGGAGACTGCCGATGTTGCACAAGTTGACAGTGACCGGCTCCTCTGCCCAGGAGATACCCTGGAACAGAATGCATCCGTCACCCACATCGACGACATCCACCAAGAGCTCCTCGAACTCTGGTCATCCCGTTAAAATACCACTACGCGACTATCCGAGGACGAATTCCAACGCATCGCCAACTTCATCCATGCCTTCATCCCACGTGGACACTTCCCGTGCGAGCCCATACGATTGGGACATCGCGCTCAAGAAGTACCGACCACATACTGCTAAAGGTCCTGATGCCTTCGCGCTCAACGATCTGCGCAACATGCAATCATGCACCCCTCCCACAAGGAGAACCTCATCGGATGGCTCAACAAGCTCGAAGCTGGCCAATCAACCTCACCAGCGCAAGTCCTTCAGGGCACCATCACCCCAGTTGCAAAGTCAACCAACTCGAAGGCCGACAGCTACCGGCCAATGAGGTCTACAGCCTCGTTTACAGGACGTGGGATGCCGTCAGGGCCAAAACCATACTGAAATCCATCAGCTACCTCCTCAGCGACACTGCCTATGGGTTCATGCCCGGCAGTATGTCTTCGCGCTTCAGAGCTCAGCGCGCAAGCTGACCACGCCTCCGAAAAAGTCTGTGGTTTTGCGGCCGACCTCAAGAGATGTTTCAACAACCTGCGCAGAGAGCCTATCACGCTCATTGCCCAGGCGCTAGGCGTCTCCAACCGGGTCCTCAAACCAGTTGGGCTTCCTCTACGGCAACCAGCGCAGGTTCACCGTCCGTGGGCACCTCTCCGAGCCGGTCCAATCATCAGCTTAGTGTCGCCGCCATGACCATGATCGACCTCAGCTTTCACCTTTACATGAAAGCCTTTTGCCCTTCGGCTACGGGCTACAGCTTCGTCGACAACCTCGCGCGACTGCCACCTCCACGGAGGCTTTGGCCAGAGGCTGGTGTACAATGGAGGCCTTCTGCTCACTCTGGGCATCAGCTCCTCGAGACTGCAAGGCCCTTGAGCTCTTCCCATGTCGGGCGGTGCGAGCTGCCAGAGACCTGAGGAACACTACTCTCGCGTGGTTGAACGATGCCGTGGTCTGGCAGGCAGATGGAACACCCTCAAGCGAGCCCCTGGCTCACTGGATAACAAGGCTCGCACGTTGTGGAACTGCTTCTGGCCACGGGCACTACACGGAATAGTCACATGCAGACTTGGGGAGCAGCACATCAAACAGCTCCGTTCGGCGGCACTCCAACTCAAATGTGCAGGGGGCAACCCCATCCTGCGCCTCACGCTCGAGTTCCAATGCCTGGCCGATCCAGGCTACTACCAGATTGCAACGACACTCAGAGACTTCAGGTGCCTCTGTAGCAAGCAGCCTGCGCATGCAATGAGTGGGCACACTTTATGCGCCAATATGATGGTCGCCTTTTACCAGGTCCCTTCTCCAAGCTGATTGAGGTCTGCAACTCCCTGGGATGGTCCATCATCAACGTGCCACTCATCCAGGACCATGATGGAGTCAACTTCAACATGCTTACGTGTGCCCCCAATGAATTGGAAATTCGCCTCAACGACGCTTGGGCCCAGCACATTGCAAGCCAAGTCCAACACCGCAAGTCCATGACTGGCCTACGTGGCTTAGACCTTGCATGTACTACCAGACGGCGTTCCAAGTACAACTCCTTGCAGGCGCGATTGCAGCAATTTGGGATCTTTTCGAGCTGCTTACTTTCGAAGTACGACCTGACTAAGGACTCCCTATGCCCCCGATTCCATGAGCCGGACGACTACCGACATCAAGTGGCAGTCTGTCCACGCTTCCACTCATGTCGAGCGAAAGACCAATGCGCAGCGGACCTTTGGGACACTTCCTGAATGTGTCAGTCAGCACCTCTTGACCCAAGAAACCCCATGCTGGTAGAAATCAAAAAAACCCTCGACGACTTCCCTGACCGGCCGGTCCACAGAGTTCCACCTCTTGCCCAACGACCAGGACGTGCTCCTGTTTCGGCCACGCAGACCCACATCTTGCAATAGCAGCTTGGGGCGCAATTTTGCCGGACAGAGGTTGCCTGGCCGCCGGACCCCTCATAGGATTGTTCAATCGGTCAACCGTGCAGAGCTCACAGCAGTTATAGCAACGCTCCGCTGGTCGAATCTTCACAGATGCAACACATGCATCTGGACGGACTCACAATACGTTTCTGACGGAGCCAACACACTGCTTCGGGACCCTGCCGAAGCCATACCCAGCGAGAATGCGGACCTTTGGACAATTGTCGCCAACCTCATCAAGATTGCAGTTCCGGGCTCTATCCGAGTGCGATGGATTCCTTCCCACTTGAACGAAGCGGCCTGCGAATCTCCTTTCAAGGAATGGGCAGCACGAGGCAACAACCAGGCGGATGGTGCAGCAGCTGCAGCAAACAAGAACAGACCAGCAGCTTTCGTTGAGCTACATGGCCGCGCTATTCAGTATTACAACCGCTGGGCGGAAATCTGTGATGCTCTTGAGCGAATATATCTTCGTATTGCCAACCTTACAGGTACGCATGTTGATGAATCCGCTCAGGAACATGAGGACCCCCCGGAGGCCACCCTGGACACCCACGCTGTGGCATAGCAGATGCAATTCATGGGCAGATTTTCTGCCCAAGGACTGGGACTTTTTCGGGGCATCCAAATTGCCAGAACTGCCCTTCGGGTTTGTGAAGCAGTTCCTCAACTGGATCCTCAGACTGGACGAGCAGAGTGCCGACAGCACAGACGTCAGCTTTCTTGAATTAGTTTTGCATTACCCGCAAGGTAGTGGCCAGGCTTTTCCAACCGCCACACCCGATGGCAGGCTTCAGGTTGCACATGCGACCACCTTCGCCCGGCCCACCGTTGCCTTCCAGCTGCGCATTGCAGCACGGGTGCTTCAGACCTTCGGGCGCCACTTTGCCTTGGTGGGTTTTTTGACCAGTGCGATTGGTTCTCTTGTTGGTTTTGGGGTTCACCCACCTCAGAGGGGCGTGCGAATAGGATGTGGGATTGACACCCTCCGTGCCATGCGTTCCTGCGTGGCATCTTTTACAGCGGCCCGACCAATCAGGGTCGCGGCCGATTTAGCTAGGCCGGCTTGAGGCCTGACCGGACCGCCCACTGCACCGCGCTGCTGTGCATGGGCGATTGCGCAAGTGAGAGTATTACTTGTGACACATAATATGATGCTATCATATACTATTCTGCTATTATTGTCATTCGGTGCAAGTTCAGCCCGTGCCGGCCGCAAGGGGTGTTCAAGTTGAACAGCAAACAGTGATTCGGGTACTGAAGCTGCAACATGCGGGAGCCAACCAGTGCAGCTGCCAGTTTCGATTGACAGCAGGGAAACATTGCGTTGAGCGTGTGCTCTGCTCGAGGCATACCAGTGCTGACACCAGACCTAGGTCAAAGGCATAACCCGCATGTGCTGTGGCATTGCTTGCGATGGCAGCCAAGTATTGACCGCGCTTCACTTCAGCAGCAGCCGTTGGCTGACATGTTGTTGTGCTTTTGAATCATTGCAAGTGGTTCTCCAATGTGCGAGGGCACATTGCGTGGCTCATCCATCCAGCATCTCTCCTGCCTAGCTGTCTAACGAGCCCCTCGCGACGTTGCGTGCGTTGCTTCGACGGAGCGGCTGGCACCTCCCAGCCCCTTCGGAGCCCCACCGTCTGAGGCTGTGGCCAGGGCTTCCGGCTCAGCGGTCCCAAGGCGCTGCCAGCAGTGTGGCAAGCTTTGCCTGGGGAAACCACCCGAAACGACCCGAACTTCCGAGCGGGGAACCATCTCTGATAGGACCGGCGATGACATAAGATGGACATAAGTTACATGTCAGCTCTGCGCTACCCTGAAGGCCGCCAGCTGGCCAAAGGGGCCGTGCCCATCGCCTTTCGACTTCAAGGCGAGCTGACGCATCGGCATGATTCGACATTTCATTGCGGAGAACCGAGGCCGGCACAAACAACGTAGAGAACCTCGCTCGCGAACTTTGTCAGGCTGTAGCAATCCTGAAAAAAGGGAAGCATCGCCGGACGGCAAACCAGCCCATGTCCTGGCAGGGAAGCGGGTCCATGCCTCAGCCGAAGTTGAATCATGCGGGTGTGCCTCTTTTTCAGGATTCCATTTGTTTTGCGGATTTCAAAGGGAAACCAACACTATTTTTGGGGGGGGTCTCTGCAAAGAATGACACACCCATATTCTGGGGCCTTGTCGCATCTCGTTTCTCTCTTTAAGGCTCTGACTGCCGCGCTTGCCCTTTCGGCTGGAGATCCCGACCTCGGTGCTGTGCGTCAGAACATGTTGAGTCTCAGACCGCTGAGTTGTTGACGCAAATGTCCGGCCCTTGGAATGGCTCCAGCCACTCATTGTCTCTTGGCACCTCCATGTAGCATTGCGCCACAGATCCAAACATCGTCCATCCGCGCAAGCCATTCAGCTTTCACGTTCGCACACTCTTTTTGACTAACTCGCGAACTCATCTGCAGCATTCACTCCGGGGCTCTTCCCCGGCCTCGCTTTCATGCCCGGGCCGCCCTTGCCACCCTTGCCACCCTTGCCACTCTTGCCACCCTTTCCGCCCTTGCCTTTGCCCTCGCCTTTGCCTCGCTTCTTGCCCCCCTTTTGCCTTTCAGCTCTTGCTTTGCCCTTCTTCAACGCTTCGGGCTCAGCTGTGCGCTCATACCTTAGCTTCACGCTCCAGAACTGACATCTTGCTCTCATTTTCACAGCGATGTCGTGTATCCCGAGCCTGCCTAGTCCCACCCGCAACGGCAAACACCTTCCAACCGCACCAAACAGGACCCAAAACAACAGACATCCAAGCACCCGCCCAAGTCCACGGTTTTGGACGGGGTTCAGACGGTTTCGGTCTGAGGCGCCTATCCTTCTTCACCACGTCCCGGGGCGCCTCGCGGAGAGCGAAGCTTGTGGCCAGGTGCCCTAGGTGCAACTGGCTGAAGGGGAAGCAGGACCGCAGCTCCCGGGGGAAGGACCGGTACGCCTGGGAGCCGCTTTTCAACATAACCCGATATGATGCATTATGATGCATGCAACTTATGCAAGCGCCCAACCCTCAGCCTCAGCCCAAACACTTGTTTCCATTGCGGCTGAAGCTCCTTCAGCGATGCCAGGAAGCCCGATCGGGCGCGGGAGGCCAGCGGCGCTTGGGCTGCCACGCGGCTTGCCAGGTGTCCCGCAATCAGGCCCTGCCGTGTCCCGGATACTGCAGGAAAGTGTTTGGACCCCGTCCCTTCCAAGCAGCATTTCATGGCACGACTTTCCCACACACACACACACACTTAGACTCCAGATGGAGGGTTCTAATCTTTCAAGTACAACTGGTAAGTCTCGGCTTGGATAAGGTTCTACATGAATAAGTTTCGGCTCGCAATGCACTCGGTTTCCCTCAAGGTTCAACATGAAGCACACACAGCGAGAGAAACAACGGGCCAAAAAGACTTTGCACAACCATTGCAGGTACACAGCTGGACGTCTCCAACTGCTTCACCAGGGTCACGAGAGTGTCTTCGTTGGTGGCAGACTCTCGGCCCTGCTGCCACCCCCTGCAGTGGGAAAAAGTTATTGTATGGTGGCAGGGTTTTCTGCAACTCCGCACACACACACACACACACGCCCCTCAGTGAGGGGCGAAAGTCTTTTGTTCCAGCCGGAAGATCACGCAATTGGCTCATCAATTCTAACGTCTACCAAAATATCCACTGCGTCGGGGAGAGCGCGAAACTGCACGCTCCGCACGAGGCCGCTCAGAAGACGGGGACGAAAGATCTCCAAGATGAGCAAGACGTGTGCCGCCATAGAAGACAGGCGGAAGCTGCAAAGCTGTCGGGCGATCACCGTCAGAAATGGGAGGTGAACATCTCTTCGACCCGGTTGATGTCCGGATGTTGTACATCAGCAAGTGATGGATCAGGGTCATGATGGGTGGAGAAGGACTCCAAGCGAGACAGAATCCGTTGATAACCTTGATGTTGCCAGTCACGAAGTCAACATGCTCAGTTACCCGTTTCCACTCCCGAAACGAGTTCTCAGGTAGGGCGGGTACTGCCTCATCTGGGTGCCACAGTTGAAGTTGACCCGGAGTGTAGATCCGCACCCACTCCTGGTCCTGCCAGACGGAGTATTCGAGCCAAGGGTGCTGCTCGTCAGATCATCTGTGTCCATGCTGAAGTAAAGGACAGGGCGTACCGCAGGCTCTGATCCAGCTGGCGAGGAAACAGTCACAATGCACAACCATGCACAACCGGCCAACACACAAGTAAGCAAGAGCAAAGGTGACACTCTTTCATGTCATGATCAAGATGCATCGGTTTATACGTCACCTAGCTCGAAGATGGGCTGCGCCTTGTTGGTAGAGCTGCCTGGTTGACCCGCAGGTGTATTTAGATCAGCGACCCCAATCGATTCGGGTGGTGCAACTCCACGAGATACATGTGCTGGATGGTGGGACGCTTGACGCGCGCGTTCTGACAGTTGCTGACAGATCCCAGCCTGAAGACGAGTAAGATCTTCAACAGAGAATTCAGAAGCATCCGAAGACCGGAGAATCGCACTCAACATCTGCGGTGTCATACTCAGAGCCGAAGATTGCGTGGCCACGCTATGTTGATGAGGAAACATCGAATTGAAGTCTTGAACAGCTTCAGGAGCAGCAACACGCCGGTAGCCCTCAGTGGTCCAGTCCCTCTTGTACCAAGTGCGCCTGGTGGGCTGGTCTTCGTCATGAGCCAGGTTTGGGGCATAGAACTCCTTCCACTCCCTGTATGTGTGGCGCGGAGGCGGATCATCGCGTTCATCTTGTGGTGTCCATGATCCCGGATGAAAAATCTTGACCGATTGAGCGTCCGGTTGTTGAGGATCAGGGCACCACTCCAACCACGACATGACAACTCAAGCACCTAACTGCACAACCGAGAAGAACACGGCTGCAGGCAACGAACCCTTCATGCCATGTGTCACCAAACATGCCAGTCAACCGCAAAACAATCAATCCAGCACTCGCAGCGCACGCAGCGCCGACCGCGGCGGTTTGTAGCCAGAAGCAACTCAGGTGTCGACGTCTGTCGCCCCAATCAAACTCAGGATCATAGGGAAGCGATGAAGATCGTCAACCACCATCAGAGACCGAGGATGTCGATGAAGAAGACAATCCAGCGTACATGAGGTCAGGCGATCCCGAAGAGAAAACGGGCCGCGCTATACTCGGATGTGGATTGCCGAGTCGTTGGTATCCTCTGGTGCGCCAGTCCCGATATTGCCAAGTATAAAAGGACGCATAGGAGACCGGCTGGATGAAGGCATCCAAAGTGGTGCCTCCCGTGCTGTCACGAGGCCAATACACTTCAAAGTGGTAGAACCTGCGCCATTCCCAATAGCTGAATGTGTCAGACGGAGCCGGTCCCAAGGTGGAGTCCGCGACAGGTTGCCACGGACCTGGTTTGTAAACCCGAATCCACTCAACATGCGCATTTCCAGCAGCATTCACTATATCGTCTCGAAGTAGTGCGGAACGGGCCACCTCTCAGTGATCGTCGAATTGAACATGATATCCGAACCAATGGCGGTGAGACAACGCAAGGCTCATGAAACCGAGAAGTCTGCGAGATAAAACGCGGGCCGCCATGCTAACCACGGCATGGTGATTTTCAAAGGCGCACACGGCTGCACGGAAAAACATGAATAAAGGCACTCAATCAAAAGGCCGCTGGCAGAGCACTCACGATGCAAGACTCAACAAGCGCAAGGTTTTACACAACATTCAGTCAAAGCATCAATGAGACTCGTTCCAATCGAAATTAGGGTCATAGCCCGGCGGGGGAGAAGGGTCACGCCACGCGCCGTCAGGAACTGAAGACGCCGATGAGGACGACACACCACCAGGCACGAAATCTGTCGATCCAATGTATGGACGTGGGCCACCAAGGCGTTGATAACCTTGCGTATGCCAATCACGGAATTCCCACACGTACTAGGACGCATAGGAGACAGGCGTGACATTCGGATCCGCAGCGGTGCCTCTGGTGCTGTCACAGGGTAAGTACACGTCAAAGTGGTATACCCTGCGCCACTCCCGATACGTGGAGGTGCGGTCCGGGGTTGGGCCCAAGGTCGATGCAGCCACAGGCTGCCACGTGCCCGGTGTGCAAACCCGAATCCATTCCAGGCCTCTCTCAATGTGGTACTCAAAGTAGCGCGGCAACATGACAACCGAATGAGTCGCCAAATTACTATTACAAGGGCAAGCGAAGCCAAGGGATCTGCGGTGTAACAATCATGCCATGACCGACATGCACGCCATGCCTAATCAGCAAGCAATGCAATGCATAACAACTTTTCCAAACTGAAGACTGGACGAATCAACAAAGTCTGTGGTGTACTGCGGCAATGATTCACCGCCGCTGATGACGCGCGCATCTGCAATGGAAATGTCCTGGTTGACGTCGCACACAGGGGGAAAGACATTTCCGTCCATGATGTAGGAAGGCATGGCAGTAATGCTTGCATTTTGTAGTTCTGGACCGTGTTGCACGAGTAGCCCTTTTCGAAGTGAACACAGTGAAGGGCCGCCGAGAATAACGCTCAGCAGAGGTTGACGTTGTTCGAGTGCGTTTCGGGGAACGCGTGAGACTGCGGAGATCGTCAGCACGGGATTAACAGCTCTGCAAACTGAGCGTCGTGTGCGCTCAGAGACCATAGTAGCCGGGAATGACTGTCCTCGGGGAGAAGGGGTAGAGGAAGTTCGCAATGAGGGCATGAACTGTGGATGAAGAGTCATCGGTGGCGGTGGTGGTGGTGGAGGAGGAGGAGGAAGTAGTAGCAATTGTGGTGGAGGTGGAGGTGGTGCCGTCAATCGAAATGGTCTGTCGAGCAATGTGCCGGCCGGGTAGTTTGGTCCGTGATACTGTAACCACGTCGGCTGCGCTCCATGGGTCCAAGTTATGAATGTCTGCACATTTTGCTCCAGCACGATTTGAACACTCATGTCCGCAAGACAAGGCAAGACAACTACAAGGTCAACGCAATGCACCACCACTCGAAAGGAATTTTGACGGCTCCAATATTGCAAAGTCATCTAACCGCGAGCCTCAAGTCGCTGGTAGACCTTCCATGCCTGCTTGACTTCCTCGATGGGTTTCTGAAGGAAACGGGCGATAGTCTTGTAGGTGGGCCTGGAATCCTTGTCCTTTTTGCGTCTGACCATCTCATCCAGCTCACCCTGTGTCCATGCCGTGAATGGTTCGAGAAATTCATTGCGGAGGGCAATAGTGAATTCCTGTAGAAGTTCACAAGGTCCATGGACCACCGTCGGCGATGGACGGAACGATGAAGCACCGGGATGTGGACGGACTGAACCGTCCGAATCCGAATCAGGCGTAGTAGACGAAGCGTGCCCCGGCGCACGTTGGCGGTGGTAACCGGTCCACCAGAGTCTCTGGACGTTGACCAGGGTTGCCTCCTGGAGCTTCACGACGTGCTTCACGAGGAGGTGATAGTGCAAGTATATACCAGGTAGAAGAAGTATCCACAGGCCGAGTTCTGGTGCGGGTGCAAGTGCGAGACCGATCTGACGAGATGCGCTCCGTGATGATGCGTGGGCGCAGTCCATGTCTTGAATTACGTTGTGCTCTGGGAGTCATCCGGGGATCTGATTCCTGATTTCGATCTGCCGCCAGGGCAAAGTTCAGGGTGTCCAGGGCAGTGGCAACTTGGGAGGCGAGGACGTTGAGCACCGCCACCAGGTTATTCACGAACTCTGTAGACAGCCACATGGCAAGTGAAATCACAGCAGGGCAACACAAGCAAGAAGGGCTGCGAACCTACACAGACAACTCATGCTGGCATGCACTGGTGCAAATCCGTAGGCTGAGAACCTTTTGCCGCTGGTCAAGATTCAACGGCCATATGATAGGCCAGATGGTCGACACGCCGGCATGGCCTTGACTGCAGGGGGTGGCTTCGGCACGGCAATGCGATGGTCCGAAGCAAGAATAGGTCGCGCACGACGGCCAAGTGGTCGTCTGCGATGACTACGGCTTCGAGACCGACGTCGATGCAAGTCACGGTGTCTGGACCTTCTTCTCCGGTTGCGCTCCCTGGAAGCGCTGTCACTCACCGGCTCAATGAGATCGGCCGGTTCCATCCGGTTGGTGGAAGTGGCCACCAGCGTGATGGGCACTGTTGGGTGAGGTGGTGCAAGAGATGGCAAGGTGACGTCCCGTGGGACGCTGTACACCGAGCCTCAAGCTGAATG